TGTTTCAATGGCTTTGTAAATGACAAGAACAATTCCCTCCACAAACATATTTCTAGAAGGTTTACCGAAGAACTAGAATTGTAAAAAGTTTTGTTGTGTTTTGTCCACCACTTTGACCTTTGGTCATGCAACTTTGCCCTATAGATTTTGCATTAACTCATCGAAGCAAAACAAACGCCTCAAATTTGCATACTCTTCTTTCACGCAGTTAGTTAGTTTACTTATTTAAGCCCACCTTGGTTACTTGACGTCATTACTATATTCCAAGCAAATTCCTATGTACTCGCCATTGCACAAAGTTCTCCCAGCTTGACTTTTATCAGTAACTCGAGGTACTAACCTCGTTCCAAGGATCTCTCTCCTCTGCCACAGACGCAGAGGAGAGAGAGTTTGGGAAGGTGGTCAACTCACCAATCAGAAGCAAGTACTTGACAGTCTTAATGCGTTGCCTCGGTAACAGCTTGCTACCCATCAAACTTTTGCTCTGTTCGATTTTAGTATTACATTGTAATTAATCGGTTTGTACCATGGCAGACAATCGACGAACAAAATGGAAATGACCAGCAAGCAGATAATAGAGAAAGTGAAGAAATTTTTAAGAAGGATGTGGATGCTTGAGAGGTCTGAAAGATGGACATTGCTTTGACCAATTTTCAAAGGAAACTGTGTTCACAAATTTGAACAACTGCCTTGAACTGTCAAGTCCAGAACTTGACCTGGTTATCTTAGCCAACATACAAGCATTCACACAAATTGAAACCATTGGCGAAAAAAGAAATCGAAGTCCCAGATGCAATTTTCTGTATCAATCAGTACCTAACTACAAGGATATGTTTCTGCACCTTTAAGGATTGAGTTACTCTCGATTTCAACGACTGAAGGAACACTACGAGAGTCATGGCATTTTGCAAAGGAGGCATGGCAACTGCAAAAGGCTTCCCAGCAACACTCCCACAGGCAGTAGTTGAAGATGTCAAATTGTTCCTTTCAAACTATGTCAAAGAAAATACTATCTTGCTTCCTGGGAGGATTCCTGGATACAAAAATGATGAAAGAGCTTTTTTCTTCAAGTGAGACAAAGAAGAGTGTATGGTGTGATTTTACTGCCGCTTGTGAGCAGTCAGACAAATAATCGGTAAGCTACTCAAAATTTAAAGATTTATGGGAACAGTTCCATCCAAATATTGTGGTAGCGACACTGATGACTGATCTAGGTATGACTTAACAGGAAAACACTGCAAAACTAGTAAGATCTGCTAATCTTCCTGAGGGCGAAAAATCAGAATGCGTCTGTGCTCGACAAGAACATTTTAACACTGTTACAGAGAGGGGGAATTATACAGGGAAGTGTGCGAAGAGTAAACGAAAACGTTTCAAACTGTGGAAAATAACATACAGTTAGACGAACGGCATGACCCCTGCATGCTTGATTGTACAATGCTTTATTCATTCGACTACATGCAACAACTTCATATCCCAAGTAACCTCATGCAGCTGGGACCAATTTACTTTATGACTCCATGGAAATGTGGCATTTTGGTGCGATGTGTGAAGGGATAGCATGTCAAGTGAACATCTTTGTTCATTAGGCAAGTGCTGTTGGAAAGGGGCAAATGCCACTATCAGTTATGTCCACTACTATTTTGAACAGCATGGACTGGGAGATAAGTGATAAGCTGTTTCTTTATGGGTCTGTTTCTGTAAAGGTTTTTTGTTTTTCCCAAAACAATATAACCAGCTGTGATTGGTGCATATCTATTTGTTTTTGCCAACACTAAAATTAGCCAATGGTATTTTGGCTTTTGTTTAGGAAGCTTATTCATCAACACAACAACTGATTCATCTCATCTTCTGAACAGTTATTCCAAACATCTCAAGTATATCTCTCAACGATAAGGTCAAAGTTCTGTGGAAGACCAACTACCAACGGCATGATCAACCACCCTGGCCTAAAAGAAAAGAAACCAAGCTTTGCATGGAGACACAGACAAAACCTCTATGGTGCCGTTAAAAATAGGAGACCGCGTGAAAGTCTAGTTTGGTTCGTGATGGTACAATGCTGTAGTGGCAGAACACTGGCAGCCAAAGTCAAAAAAAGGTAAGTTACGATGCCACTAGTTTTGCCACCAGCATTATTTCTTTATTGTTGT